ATAGTTGTTAGTTAATTAAAATTTAATGATTAATTTTGAGTGTTTACTAGTTTAATGGAAAAGTCTACTGATGTGTGAATGATACCTATTTTATGTTGTATTGGATGGTGGAAGAGAAAATTAAAGTATCGGCTTGAGCGTGTGGGTTTTGTTACTAATTAGTTAGTAATATGTTATTTTGTTGAATGATAATTTCTAAATCTTAGAACCTAATGCTGTTGTTATAACGTGTCTTAACAGTGAATTGTAATTTTAGACAATAGCTATTAAAAATGTTTTTAGTATAGTTAATATATTTAGTAGGCACACATATGAGAATATCATCTACATACCGCACATACAGTGAAACATCAAAACGTATCTTCTCTGAGCACGAAATTTCAAGCAAACGTATTACAAGATCACACAGTACTGGACTACAGGGACTGCCCATTTGAGAGCCAAAAATTTGTTTATAAAATTTGTTGTTGAAATGGAAAAAAGTTAAATTTAAAATTAAAGATACACCTGTGCAAAATTCATCGATAGAAACATTGATTTTACCATTCAAGAATTTCCAAAAATGTCTTATTGCATTTATAATAAAGGCTTTACTAGTATTAGTACATAAACTGACAACATGTAGATCAATAAAAGTGTAATCAGATGAAATGATAATATATATCAATTCATTTTTCAACTTATAACTATTTTTTACATGCGATTTCGCCGGCAAAATATTCTTAATCAAAAAATTAGAAAGAAATTTTTAAAATGTATAAGTAGTCAAATTCAGCAACAACAACAGCATTAGTTTCTTCGATTAAAAAATTATCGTTTAAGAAGATAACACAGTGCTATCTTATTGGTGCCAAAAACTTCCACATTCAGGCCGATACTTAAATTTTCTCTCCTACCATCTAATACAACATGAAATAGGTATTATTTACACATAAGTATACTTTTCCATTAAATTAGCAGACACTTATTTCATAACGATTATTTAAAATCACTCAATAAATTTTTACTAGCTAACAACTATCCTCAAAAATTCATAATTGAATTTTTGTACGAAATAATATACACCTTAAAAAACACGAACACGATTGAAATTTGTAATAGAAACAGTGATAATTCTCAATTAATGTTATCATTATCGTATATTCCCCACTTGCACGAACGGTTCTATAAAATAGTTTTGTAAGACGCTTCAAATTCGTCTTGTATACAGTTTAAACAATAAATTAAATTCGAACTTTTCACTTAGAAAAGATGTAACCAAGCCACTCGATAAAAATGATGTCGTTTACCACATAGCATGTGCGAATTGCAACTGCCGTTATGTCGATCAAACATCAAGAGCTAAAAAATTAAAAATGGGAAAACATAAAAGAGACATAAAGAAAAAAAAGGATACGTCTGTAGTATCACAACATAGCATTGAATTCACACACAACTTTAATTTTGATGAAATAAAAAGTTTAGACGCAGAACAAAATTGCAAAAAGCGCCTGTTTTCCAAAATGTTAAATATACATTATTTCAATAATAATATTAATAGACAACAAGATACAGAAAAACTGAAAAATTGTTACAAGTCTCTCGTTAAGTCAATTAAGAAAGGAAGCTAACTTGATGTACATGATTTGAGGGCCCCTTCCATTTATGGTGTTAGGAAAACATGATATGTTTACGTATGTCTCACAAGGAACTGCTTGCGATTCTTATTTGATTGTATTATGTGCGTATACTGTGTAATTTGTGTATGTGCAAGGTATAAAAGTAACGAAACTTGAAACTCTGACTACATTACGATTTTACATCCCCTTCGTAAGAGTCAGAGGTATATTATACACTTTACTTAATTTCCGTTTATTGTATTTACCGAAATTTGTATTGTAAAGAATTTTTTTCGTTACTCATGGATTTTTATACTTGATGAGGGCCGGGACATTGTACGAACGGCCGAAACGTCATTTTATTCTTTAATAAATACAAAATTTGACAGTACTACCATTGGACGTTATTTTAATAGAATGATATTTTTCATTTAAGAGGTTATTTTTCAAAAAAAAATATTTAACAGAAAATTTCTTGTTTTTAGAAAACTTCGGGTTTTTTTACGCATAAATGAAATTTTTATAACTAAATATGAATTATGCTTATCGTTTGATTTACAAATAAAAAGAAAAATAACAATTGAAACATTAAAAAGTCATAGGTTTTTTTTTTATTGAATAATGGTCAATACAAAAAATGTTTTACAAATTATTTGACAAAAATACAATAGTTGTAATGTTAATTTTCATAGGTTTATAAAAAGTTAGGGATATAGAAAACTAATTTCCTTGTCCTTGTGTGGAGCTACCGGTGACAACTATAATGTTTATCGATAATTTATCTAATTGTAAGACTTTTTACTTTACGTGTAGTTTTTTATATTTATTTAACAATATTAATAAAAATAATAAAAATAATAATAACGATAATCATAAAAATCAACGCACTAAAAATGTAATGATTAAAAATAGCATTATAACTTGTTTTCAAAACATTTTACATAGCCAGTAAGCTCTGAGTACTCATTCAAAAAAAGTTTCTTATCATCATTTATAATTATAAAGTTGATCTGTTTGCCTCATAGACAGTGTGTAAATAATAGACTTTATGTGGAGGATATGTGGGGGGGGGTGTAACAAAATTAAGTAAAACGACCAAAGGTAGGTCTTTGGGGGCTGTCGGGAGTTGAACGAAAAAGTGAACATTTTATGGTACTGAATTGTAAGAAGCTTCTCTTTAATTATGACTTAATGTAAAAATACATATATTCACATACGTACGTGTATTTTGACGTACGCTGACACTCTACAAACAAACAGCTTATTTACGCAGACTTTTCCTGACTTATGCTGAAAATCTGCACAAGTTTTTAATGTGATGAATTAATATATATTCATGTCCAATTTAAAAGATTAAAGTAGATATGTACAATTAGAGGAACATTACTTCATTAAATTCGACCGCACTTTTTACACGCTAGCTCCAGTAACATATCCTATAAGTTTAAAATTAACTAGTCCAAAATGAGGGTACTTGGATCGATTTTCTGAATCGATCAAGTATTTCAGATCAATCTTTATATTAATTTTTTATCCTAAGGAACAAGTTTTCCGATGAATCGATCTGAGATCGCTTTCTCTAGTACAGAGTGCAGAAAATTGAAGCTAAGATTTAAAGAAATGACTAGCAAAACCATGATAGTGCTGAGTCCACTTGGCTACTGGTTCATGTTCAAAGGGCATTGATGTTATATATTATCTGTGAGGTAAGTATAGGTTCAGATCATGTATGTGACACAGCAGAAACAAAACTTCAAGTTGGAGAACCTGGGGTTTCTGTCAGACTCTTCCGAGCTGTATGTTAGTCGCACCAGCCAATATTTACGAGTTTTACTATAATAAACTTTATCTTAAGGGACGTCCCATACAAATAAAAAACGTACGGTTATATTATAATTATCGCTGTCATTTTATATACAAAGATTTATAATTAATGGGTAGTTCCGTATAAAGCAATTGTGTAATGCCTGGCTGAGTAGAGCGTTGAAATATGGGCTAAAGACCTTATGTTTAGATTGAAATAGATCTTTTATGAGTTCTTCGGAGAAAAAAAAGGTGGCTGGACAAGTTTCATATACATTTTGCGGAAAGAAATAATTTTGCTTATTACGTAGGTCTTAGTAAAACGGTTATTGATCGAGAAAAAAATCTAGCCATTACTAGCGTAATAGCCACTAGTCAATAATTTCATCTTAAAAATTGTTGAAGGAAGAAAGATATGAAAAATCAAGTATAAGATTGTAAAATTAGGGACTCTAGATAAAAGGCCTAATGAGCGTTCTTCATGGCCTGAAAAGTACCGAAGTACTTGCCAAGATGTAAATAGGCTAGTTATATTCGTACTGTTACCAAAATGAAAAGTGGTACCTAAAGGTTTAGACCGTGTCATGGATATTGAGATAATGCGAAGAACATGCTTTGTTGTGTCAAAGAGAATTGGCAACACTGCAAAGCATAAGAAATAGGTGGTAGATATGTGTCAATTGGTATAAGAACAGAATATGAAAGAAATTAATTAATTTAAAAAAAAAAATGAAGTAAAAAAAATATTCTTAAGGTATAATGAAAAATATGAAAAACTAAAAGTACTGGAATGATTTTGATTGCAGTGATAATGATTGTATTGAGTTACAGAGCCAAGTAGTTGACATTCGTTTAATAAATATGTTGGATTGCGTGAGAGTAATTTTATAAGATGCAATTTAAATGTCAGGGATCTGTTAAGTAATTTATTTTGCACAAAATCTATGTAAACTTAGTTTTATTTCTGGGTGAATAAGCCGGTTAATAAGTGAATTGTACACTTACACGTACCTTACTACCTTAATAGTTATGTTTGAGTGTTCATGTTATTGAACATGAAAAATAACCACATACAGTTACTAAGTACTAATGACAAAGCATGCCTGATAAAGCTTGTTTTTGTATGAATAGTATACATTCATTCGAATAGTTTTTACTACGAAATAATAAATGCAAACTAAGTTACAAATAGTCATATAAATTAGGAGTCAGCAATATTTTACCAAAATACTTTTTCAAGCTTTGCTCTTTCGGATAAAATCTTTTGTGTTAACTGCCATTACTGCATTTGAAAAAGGTCCTTTAATATTTTTACCCTTCATGGTTTTTATTTTAACTTTCAAGTTTGCCTGAAACAGTACTGGATATCTGGCTAAGATTTTTCGGTTGCTGTGTTTTAGTTAACTTTAACAGTGGTCACCTATTTTTTTGTATTTTGTTTTTTAGTTAACAAAAGAACAATAGCTGTATACATTTTCGAACATTTCCAGTCAACGTAACATAACGCACGTATCATTTTACGTCGTCAAACCTTTGTCCTTACGTTTATTCGTTAAATAATTAGTGTATAAGTCTGAAATTTCATATTTACTTAGAAAATTTCTAAGATGTATTAGTTTTCTGTATTGTCTGAAGCAAATTAATTATGTAAAGAAGACTAATTAACAAGTTTAACCTATCAGACAGATAGCGCAAACATATTGAGAGCTAATACAATTATCATGACAAAAAGCACCGCATCGGCGACATACTATCATAGCTTCCTGTATGCTGCATTCACAAGAACTAGTCGTATTTCCTTTCAATACTTCATTAAAAGATTCAGGTTTGTTTTCCAAGTGTAAATTAACCTTATGATTTTCACTTTTACACGTAACAGCTTGGTATGATCGTTCATCAGCACTCGCAGGTCTTCCATTTATGATTTGAGGATACATATTAATGATAGACATTCGTGGTGGCATAGGTGGTGCAGAAGATGAGCGAGGTATATTTTTTTGTAACGCTGCCTTATTTAGGCATGAATTTTGATCAATTTCTAAAAAACTATGTATATCCTTCTTATCATTCTCTATCATCTGAAATGTGGAATTCATATATGTAGTACAATATTAAAAAACATTTAAGTAAGTTTGTAAATTATCTTTAAAAAATAATATGATTTAAATTTATTTGCTAAGTAATACATTGGCACACTTATATCAATTGGGCAGGTAAACTACTACAAGTTTGTACTTTGCACAAAAAAGCAGTATTTGAAAATAGTATAATTTAATACTTAATAAATTACTGTGAAGTTGCTTCCCGGTAGAAAATTATCCAATTCACTATTATAGTCCTTGAATTAATTTCTACAACTATTATATGATTCATTGAAACTAATATAAGTAGTCTTCAATAGTGTGTTTTTAAGTTACAGTTTTTTCAATGAAATGTGTACTTACTATGTGTTCTAGAATTAACTTTGTTTTCACAAGAGAGTATTATTATCATTATAATCGAATGAGTAATTAATAATTAAGGAGAGAAAATTAATAACTAGAACAATTATAGAATCATTTTTATAACGGAATTGCAGTTAATTAGGGAAAACTGGAGAATGAGTGATACCTTTTTTTTAATGGCTAATTGTAGCTTAAATATTTAAGTTAGATAAATTAAAAAATTGATTCGTAGAGAGCAAAAACTTTACTTATCATAGCACGAGCTTATTCAATAAAAATCAATAAAAATAATAAACATTTTTTTTTTAAATTGGCACAAAGCGAGCCTCCTGAAATTATCAGTAGTGCCTTATAGTGAGGTGATTCTGCTAGTGGCAGGGGGTTGGGTGCTGCTAGCGTAGTAAACCACGATTATTTGAAAGGCTTACTAGCAAAATTAATTGTAACACCGAGAAATATTTTTTCTCTTCCCCAGTAATACCACTCTCTCTCCTTGAAAAAACTGTCAGCTTTCGCACTGCGGATTTTCATCTTATTTTTTTATTTTGAGAGTAATTTGTATTGCAAATTCGTAAACCACATGAATGCAGTCAACAAATAATACTTAGGACATCTGCATCGCGTATAAAACGGATTTGCTGTAATTAACTGTAATCAAAGTGTTTGTTTAGTACCAGAAAATGAGTATAAGGCTTTTTTAGTAGTCAAAAATTTACTTAATAAACGGTTTTTTTCTGTATACAGAGGTAACATACAAAAAGTTCACTATCTTTGATACTATCTAACATAAAACATGCCAAGACACTCATAAATAAGAAAAAATCCACTTTTACTTTATGTTAATAATGTTTAAATACCAATAAAACATAAGATTATATCAAAAGTTCTAATTTTAGCAGTAAAATAAATAGTACAATAAGAAATATAAACCCTGTTTAAACTATCATGTGATATCTATGTATATAATTACGTAGACATAAGCTCTAGCACATAAAAAACGTGTTTAACACTAATGTGCACCCAGCAAAGGTGGTATAACCAACCCCTTGGACGTTGTTTTGCAAGTGTTTTCAAGCTTACAAACCATTCTCGACAATTTTAATAACTATATTAGTCTTTCAGATTTTTTAACAAGGAACGTGCTTAAACAGTGAGAAATCGCTTGGCGACCATTTATTTTATACATCGATTTTTTTGATATTGATAAAATTAAAATAATATAAAATATAAGAAAATAAGTCCACCTACACAAAATGGTATGAATTTTATTCGGCTATGAATCAAATTTTTCTGTTGAATATACAACTATTTAAAACGAAGGGATAAAGCAAAAATCTTTATTTTATTTGGAAAACTGACTATTAGGAATCAATAAAATTCCAAATCAAGAACCTACGCATGCACTCAATAATTTTTACTTGTTTACATTAAGATAACTATTACTGTGTGAAATTTAGTCAACTATGAATTGCATGTTTTAACAAAACAAAATTAATTCAAAAAATTTTTGACCTTGAATCAATACTCATAACAATTTTTGTGTATAAATAAGTGGAAATAGAAAGAAAAAATTTTTTTAGAAAATTTTCTCCGTTATTTCAATAGAGTTAAAAATATGATTGCCTCTAAGGCACCCTTATCATTTCTATATGTCTTTTTCCTCGGACTTCTTCAACATGAGATAAAATTTGTTCACTATGTCGTCCGTAATTTTGTTGCGTTTGATGTTTTAAAAAACCCCCTCTCAGCCTCCCTCTTATCTACTTAATTTATTTATGCCCCTTAGCTTTCTTAACCACCCTTATTATTAAAATGATACTTGACCCCCTTCAGCCCTCTTCATTCTTAAAATACCCTTTCACCCCCCCCCCACTGCTTCCTATCATCCTATCATTTTTTATGATACCCAAACAAAGTACAAACAACTTTTTTAGATTGCCCGTCATTAAATCTGGTAAAACTTTTATTTCAGCTCCTTATTGTACTTTGCTCCTTAACGTAGTTTAATACTGTTGATGTTTACGAAAAGCACCCGAGTTGCCTCGGCCAAAACGTTTTGCCATACGTGTATAAGTTACTTACGAGTCACGGGAGTCAAGAGTAGACTAAAACTTTAGAGGACAAGTGACAGATGTAAAAAAAGCGATTTTTTCTCTTAATAATGCGTTTTTACGGTGTCAGAGCAAGTAAAAGAGGCCTTTGGTTGAAATAGGTCAACCAATGAGCGATGTTCTAGCAGACTAAATTGGCAGCAAAATAGTAGGTTTGCAAGATAATGTTTTTATGTTATGATTTCATATATAATGAAATCACAATTTCACAATGCCAATCGCATTTTTCTGACATGTGCGATGGAGTTTTTTGGATCAGTTATGATGAAAGCTCGCATCAGCAATAAAATAAACACCAAATACAAGTTTAAGTGTGACGAATAAGTTTCCAAATTTCGCAATTAATCCTATTGGGGATTTTACAATCAATCGTAAGTATAATGAAATAATGTGTTAATTTATAATTTATAAATTAGTATACATTATTAGAAATAAACTATCACTTAGCAAGTAAACTATTCATTTTTACATACAATACAATTTATGCATTTATACATGTAACGTACAATTTCAATACATACATGCATTCTTACAACGAGGCTGGTCGTATTATATGTGAGCATAGTATGAAATATTCACCTTAAATCTAATATATACACATGCATATAAGTGATGTATGAGCTCTACTTGTCACATGAGCTTGTGTCTATACAGAATACGTTTTGTATTAGTTTGACAGATAAATTGTGTATTTACTTATAACATGATTCGTTTGTATTAACTCGGGATGTAACACAATGTATTCTTTGTAAAAAAAAATTTTGAGGTTTCATATAAAAATACTTTTGTCTAATTACCCAGGTACGTCTCTGATTAAAGTTTTATTATTCAGTTCGCGTATTATTTTAAAAATATTGAAGTGAAACTTTTATAGGCATGTATTGAAAAACTAGTGGTGAGTAAAACTGGCTGATGTAACGTAAAAAGTGTTCATCCAGTTCTTGGTGGCAATAGGAGAATGAAGAGCGGGGAGCAGTGCACGGGAGTCTCCCTCTCTCTCTCGCATGCGCACAATCGTGCGTCATAGTTATTTTATCTAAATATATGATATACCACCTGTCTCTACCCGATAAGAAATAAGTCGGTTGGCAAACGTTCGGGCTGTTGCCACTTGCCACACCCATCAACGGGCCGAATGTGGTAGCCGATTCGGTTCCAATTCGGCTTATGTCCAAATTTGACATGTGGCCCGACAGACTCGGCAGCTGAAGGAGGCCCGAAGACTGCCTGAACGCAGTGTGTCGAGAAGTGGTTCATGAAAACATAGTAGACCGAAAGAAAATTTTCGGAATCTGACTATTTTTCTAGAAATCGACAAGTTTAAATGAGTTTACTATCAAAAACCACCCTTTAGAAATCAATTTTGAAATTCACAATTCAATACGCCAAAGCTCTGTTGAGCGCTCTTAAAATAGTCCTTAAACTTTATTTCGCAAGTATCTTGTTAACTGTAGAAAATAAGATAAAAATAAATAATAGGGTAAGAAAATATTAGCTTGTAAAGCGAAAAATTTTCGATCAATTTGGTCTTTTATTTTTGTTTGGAACAGCACAAAATTTTAAGATAAGAATTAATAAGGGTGTTTTTCCCGATGCCATGAGAGTGAGCGAGACAGAAAGCGCGTGAAAAAGAAGCTGCAGTATATCCACACGATCGTTATCTGCTGGCAATTGATAGGTATAGATTTACATGACGATATATGCAGCTGCTTGACAGCAAATTGTGTTATGCAGAGGTAGGGCCACCTTCGGCTGCCATACTGTTCAGTTTCTGAAGGCCACATGTCGAATTTATGCATGCGCCTCCATTCGGGCTGACAGTAATATTGTTCAGCACACAGCGGTCTGGCCGAATGATTTTGTTGGGTAGCCGCCTACTGACTTCTAATTGAGTAAAGCTGACAATTAATTGAGATATGAGGATTCTTTACTTAATGTCATATGGTAGATTCAATTTTTTACCAATGCTGCACCGATAGAAGCAATTTTTGTCCCACGTAACGGGACGAAAGTACTTTATTTCAGCGCAGTGTGGTGAAATTTTTTGGTTTTGCTCTACATTACACAACCAACAATTCGTACGTGTATTTATGCATATATCATAGCAAATATAAAAGTATGGGGAGAATCACGTCAACTGTCCCAACGCCGCGGTAGACGGCCCGCGCGGGCGTCAAACACGACGTTTTCAACTCGTCGTTTCGGTGTCAAAATTTTGATAAAAAAATTATCTAAAAACATATTCTTACGTATTTTTTCCTCAGCTTTCCAGTGGTGGCATCAGTTTTTCAAAAATTTGCTCCCATAACCTCGAAAAATGCACTTGTTTTAAAAACACGTTTTATCTCCATGATCTTCAACTTTTGGAATTTTTTTGATAGTCTAGATCGAAAGATGAGACATTTTTACGTAGATATCGACAATAAAAAAAGAGGGGTTTTTCGTTTTTGTGACGTACTTAAACGACGAACGAGACGATGCAAGCCGCGGCGGAAGGAGAAATTTGCATCATCTAACGATAAG